ACACACACTCACACACACACATACACACACTCACAGACAAAAGAGAGAGAGAGAGACATTCAGAAATATGTCCCAGGAGCAGATTACCAGAACGACGTCTCCCTAACATATATAACGTTGTCAATAAACTAAACCAACAATTAAAATCTAAGTAGAGAGAAAAAAGGTAACTTTAAAAACTGTGTCTACGCATCCTTCTTCCCAAATGTAGCCAATACGTGCGTGTCAGTATTGTCATGAGGTGAGCGGGGACAACAAAATATTTTCAGGAAATGTTTTTGTGATTTCTTGGTAATATGGCAGCAAAATTCCAGTAAACAATTTCATCTTAGCCAGAATATCATCTGTCACTATGGCACGAGTAAAGAGTTGATGTATTTCATATTTCTCGACAAACAACACAAGTACTTCCTCAAACTCTAAGTCCATTGTTTGATATTGTGGGCCAGGTGAAGTGGGTGGCAGCTGGCACAATGACACTATTAAAAAAAAAATGTGATCTCAAAGGACAGTGAACCAATACTTTGAACACGGGATTTGTGTTGGTTTATTTTAGCCTTAAGTTGCATTTTGAATGCCTAAGATAATATATTTTTGTAATATTTAGTGAATGTATACAGTTTTGGAGAGAAATTGTGTATTCCTGGTGGAGCTTTCGTGTCCCTTTTTTTTATCCACTCAATTCATGTTTGTTTTCCCTTCACTTTCTTGTGTCCTATATCCAGAAAATGTCATTTATATTTCCCATTTTCCATATCTATACTCATCTATACCACATCCAGTTTTTAAAAAGAAACGTGGTTCTCCCAGATGAGACTGGGAAAACATACTTTGTTTAGAGTCCAGGGAACATGCTGGGAAGGTGTTAATTATTAACTAGTTATTTCTTTTAAGCTGCACTTCCTCTAACATTTCTTCGGCTTTGTATTAAGTTACACAAAATGCACACCTGTGTGGACAAAAGAGGCTTTGGGTGCTTCGTCTGATAGGGAGATGGGGGTGTAATGGCTTTGATGGGAAGTTGATGTTGTATGCATGTGTGTTTGTGTAAGAGAGAGAGAGAGAGAGAGAGAGAGAGAGAGAGAGAGAGAGAGAAGCTGTTTGCCGTGGAAGTGAAGGGCAGAGAGGTGGGATGAAGGAATTCAGAAGGGTGTTCCCTGTTTAAGCAATAAAGGTCGTTCGAGAAACTCCTCTGAGTAAAATGCAGAATTTTCAGACATCTAGAACACTTTTCTCCAGCTCACTAATCTTCAGATGCTTTTCTGACAAGGAGTGACAGCTACTTCACAGGTGAGGAAGAGTACAGTGGTGGGAGGAATGCTGTCTGTGTGTGTTGTTATGGTGTTTTTTTTTTATTACTTCTGCTTTTTTCTTAAACCTTAACTGTCATAGCTACATTATAACTAATGTGTTTGTATTGCAATTCTCCAGCAACAAAATCAATCTGTGGGAGAATTGAAGAATGAATGCCATGCTGTCAGAGTAGTGATTTTTATATACTGTATGTGGTGGTGCATTACAAACTCAGCCAACTCAAAAAAGAACGATGATCATCCTTATCAGACATAACGCTTTAAAGGAAAGATCCCGATTTTAAATTCATGTTATTCAGCAGCACGACTTAGTACGACTTAAGAATATGTTTTGCTTGTAAGAGACTGTATTTGTATTTCAATTGGACTACAGATGTTTTACTATGTTCATGATGTTTTTGCTTCGTTCAAAATTGATCTTAAAATTAAATGAAATGCTTCAAAGTAATGTTTCAAAAGCTCCCTGCTTAGATTTCTGAGAAGTTTGCACAGAATTTGAATCTGTTGGCACATTGTTTGCAACTCAATGAGAAATGAAATGGTTCCAACATTTTCCAAAGATGCTGTTAGAGAATAAGTAATAGAATGGAATGCTTTTAACTTCAGTTCCCTAAGTCAGCACATCATAATCATATTGTGATGGCAGAAATCACAGCGATAGTCCAAATAGATCTGTTAATATGTAATCCATCCGGATTATAAACTGTTCAGGAGCAGTCTATTTAGCTGCTCAGTTTAAAAAGAACAAAGAAACATTTTAGCAGCAACAGGTGGTTTAACTGACAAAGTAATGGAGACTAACAAAAGAATAACCTTCACGAGGATGAAATGGACTGTGTGTTTGACTGTCGTGCCGTGAGAGCTGATGTGATTATGAACAAAATGAAGCAGCTTGACTCAGTAGAACAATAAAAGCCCAGAGTCAAACAAGAGCGCATAATAGATTTATTAGATCCCTGAATTGCTCTCATCTTCTCCTTTATAACTTGTGCAAACATCTTGTCAGCCACTGTTCAATCATGTCGGACTGTCAGACAGGATAAACATCGTTACTGCACAATATTCATTGGATTTGCAGTGTAAACTCTGTGGGAAATGTGCCATATTTGAGGGAATGGAAAATGAGAGATTTACCGTACAGATGATTTTATTGTGGCCCACCAATTTATAAACTGACTTTAACTAGGTCCAGTCAGGCAAACACACAAAAGGAGGTCATGCACCAAATGTAACACCAGGGTGGAGCCTCTAAATGTTCCGGCAACTTTATGGCAACCTGATTATCAACAAGGTTAACCGAGGTTATTGACTGAAAGAGACCTTGTGTGGAGAACGTTCAGAGGTCGTTAGCTTCAAACTGATCCCCTCAGATAGCTCTATCTGTATGTACCTACCCCCATTTATACATCCATCTCTCTATCTATTTCCGCATACGTATACTCTGAGACAACAACTGAGTCCATAGTCCAAGTTTTATGAGTGAGGACAGGTTGAGGGTCAGCTGTAAGATTCATTGCATTAATAGTTCAGGTACAGCGACACAATCAGCTTCTGTTTCAAACAGTGGCTCCTTCTGTTCAGCCAACCTCAGTCTCTCACACTCCCAATCAAGCGCTTTTTCCCCTCAGTTGTCTATGCTCAGTGTCCCATAACATTCACAGTGGCGTCATTTTTAGAAGCACTGACCTATTGACCTTTGACTGCATCCTCCAGAGGTAATTTAACACCAGTGACAAATAGGACAGCAATGTGCTGCTGTATTTATTATATGGGTTCATTACAGTAACCTAGAGAGATAACTTTTCTGACATGTTTAATTCCGTTTTCTAATAACTTTGACTTCTGCATAGATGAAAGGCATATTTCAATATATTCTTTTAAATTTGAAATTTTCTGTTGGTCTGTCTGGTCGAGACTCATGATGAATTGCAGTAACTCAGAACACTCTAAACACTCAATCGTTCCTGCGAAATAGTCAGCACGTTAGCACTGTCATGGCACCATGTTTGCCTCCTGTACCTACAGCCTCACAGCTGCATGTATTTGTCATATTCCTGTTCTGCTAATGCTGTGTAACGTGGCATGAGTCACAATTTGTTGTCAGGAACTCTTGACTGATACCAACCGACTTCTCATTAGACTGTCAAAACAAAACAGGCGAGAAGAGAAACACACCTCAGCCTCAGGGCATGTTACTGTACGCACATCAAACCACTGTTAACGTCATGTTGTGTCTGAGTTTGTGAGTGTGCATATAAGTGAGCCGCTGTGCCACGTCTTGTTTTTTTGCATGTATTTGTATCTGTGCAGACACATGGCTGTGTTGGTGTATGTTCAGGTAAAATTTGAGAGGCAAAGAGCCACTGGAGGGGAGCTAAGGAGTAAAGGACACAAAAGCAGGGCAAAAAAAAAGAGATGGTGTGCTTTATGTCCAGAGGGTTTAAACATTTGGAGTGGGAGGAGAGACAGTGACAGAGAGAGGAGGGTTCAAGTTTCAGGTTACCTGGATTACTTCAGTTTTGTTTTGTTTCGTTAGCAGGGCTCGGTCATTCAAAAACAGCTCTCTCTGAATCTGCGGAGTGTCGGAACACAGGGCTACAAACAAGCCTTCTCTAATACTTCCTTGGGGTCTCAAAGAGGGGCAAGTCAGGCACCCTTCAAGCCGGATTTAGTTACACTGCTGTAGAAAGAAAAGGGTGTGGGGGAGAGAGAGAGAGAGGGAGAGAGAGAGAGAGAGAGAGAGAGAGTAAAACCAGGTTTTGTAGTTGAAGCCAGTGGAGCGAGAGGGTGGATAGGGTGAGAGGAAGAGGACGAAGGACATCCAGGGGAGAGTGAGTTACTGGGGAGTCCCACCGCCATTGAAGGAGGGCAGTGGTTTTTACTCTGTGCTCTGTGTCAGAAAAGACAAAAAGGACAGCTACATCATGCAGGTGAGTGCAACTGGAAGTAGAATCATTGTTTTGCACTGGAAGGGTCCATTTGAATATTTGCCCACGTGCTTGATATGGTATCGTATCACAGGTGTGTGATCAGCTGCAGCTTCTGGTGCAGTAATTAACATGTTGGTTCATATTGACACAGCTGATTCTCATTATATCTATTCTATATTATATCTAGCAGTTGTGAGTTTATTTTACCTGTTTTACAGGTAAAATAACGTTTTTTACACATTTTTCAGAATGTATGTGTGCACCAGCCATCTCATTATGTGAATGAGCGTATATGTATGGGCCTTCTTGTGTGTTGATGAGTAAATCCTGCTCAACACTAAATAAGGTGTTCACTTCTGCCCTTATAAAAGGTACATGTGTGCTTGTCTGTGCCTCTAAATAACATGTACAGTGCAGTGGAAAGGAATATCTACAGGAGGACAATAAAGTTGTGAGTCAAAAAGTCATCAAGTCAGCTAAACGTGCGGACTGCACTGATCTCTGACTTTGATTAAAGCTCGTACAACATGGCACGCGTATAGGTTCTCAAAAGCTCTTTGTGAACGTGTCAGTTCAGAGGAACATAATCTAACAAGGCAGAGAAGTAGAAAGGGGAAAACATGTTAAAGCTTTTATCTGTTCAGTCTGACCACAGTTATACAAATTATGACATTTAAGCTTTCCAGAAGGCACTTATATGTCATGGTATGACAAAACAGAACTTGCATTTTCAGGTATGTGTTTGTCCACTCTTGACAACATGACTCTTTAGCTACCTTTCTGGTTTCCTAGGCAGGCGGACCTCCCACTGTTTCGTGCTGTCATTCATCTCGCCTTTAATGCTCTCTCGCTGATTCAGTTCATCAGGGAATGATGAGCTGGGTTTTATATTGAGATTTCTGGTATCAGTGATGAGTGTTTATGATTCTTTTGAGGGTGTCTATTAACCGGCCTATATTAAAATCAAGTGTTTAGTTTACATAGAGGGCTCACTATCGTGCAGGTTTTTTTAATTTCAATTTTTTTTTAAGCTCCATACTGTACTGTGTGTGTGGCATCAGTGTGAGGCCAAAACTCTGAACTTTACTTACAAAAAACTCTCAAAAATAAGGGTGACTTTTCAAACATTTGGGGAAAATGTGAAGAGAAGGTATCTCAGGATCACATTACATCCTGTTCCATAAAGTGAAACATATATGACTTTAAACTAAATATATGATACCAAATAGCATTTTTACTATAATTGAGTACAACTCTTATGTTGCATACCAAAGTGCTGCAGGGGTTAATGCACACAAGCGAAACATTCCTTGTTTCAAGCACTTTGAGGGAGATTGGACGTCACACCATGTACAGTAAAGAACAGAGTGTCTGGGTCTTTGACGTATGCAGCTTCTATGTTTTCAGTTGGACATGACCAGTTGAAATGTCTTATATAAGAGTGTCTCAGGTAGTTTCTCACCAAACCAGTCTCAGCCATCACAGCTGACTCATAGCCTGATAAAATAAGCTCCCCGCTGAAAAAAAAACCCTGACCTCTCTCTGTAGAGAGTCTATATACTTTGCATGTTCCTTACATTTGACTGACGAGAGCAGACTGTGGACATGAAACAGAGATGAGATTTCAAAACCTCTCTTGCATCAAAGTTATTATTAAGCACTTCCTTTAAGAGATAGGCCTAACTAGTAATGAGCCTGGTGGTAAATACATTTGCAAATTAGGAAATTTACCCAATACTTTAAAACAGAAGTGAAAACTATAGAATAGTATAACAGTGTTCCCTGTTAGCTGTTTTGTTTAGCTATGGTTCTAGCATTTCCTCATTTAGTCTAGTCATCAAAGATTCTGCACTAAATCCCAAACAAAGTATTGTCTGACATATACTGTATACTGTAAATGTGTGTGTACTACAAACAGTGAATGAAAAGCTGGGCAGACAAGACAAGGGAAGAACAGCAGGTAGACGACAAGTGCTCCTCAAACCATCAGTTAGTTACTATATACCATCTGCTGAAATCCTCCAAATAGGCCAGTCAGCAGCCATAGTGATGTTTAGCTATAACGCTACAGAACGTCTTTGATGAATAACATGCACTATACCGACTACAGGAGATGCACTGAGAGTAACACACAAAAAGTGAAAGAGCCACTACACAAATGACTTCAGAGGACCAGAACATGGGTTCAGATTAAATAATGTCAGTGGCCCTTTACAGTGGGTTATTTGAGAATGTGTCACAGCCAATATTGAGTCGATCCTTTTTTCCCTTTACAATTGTAAACGATCTGTCCGAGCTAGTAGGGATTCACTCACTAGTTGTGTCCAAATTCACACACAAGAGAAAACACTAACAGCCCTCTTTAGCGTGAAATTGGACGATGCAGCTGCTGGACACTTGTACTCAATATCCCATAATCCAGTGTGCCCTCCTCAGAGTATTCAGTTTTATCCACCTGTGGAGTCATGAAATATAATGTAATATCAAGGAACTTGAAAATGCAAAAACACAATACCCGTACCTCATTGGAAATGGAAAAAAATAAACTAAGAAACCAAATTAGTTCATATTATATTACTCACTACAATCTAAAGGCTATAAATGCTGTTTTTCAAAATAAAATGTCCTAAATGACAATGTCAAACAATGTGAAAGGAGTTGCTCGAAGTGATAAGTATAGCTCCCCTTGGCTTTACCAAGCTTTATAAATTGCAGCAGGAACGAGTCCTAAACCCCAGAAATTAACGTTTGCATTTTTGCATTTCCGGGTCGCGTCTCGAAGTCAATTGGTTTTTGTTGCGTGGAATGAGGTCTGTTGTTAACACGAGATTTTGAAGTTTTGTTGTCGGACATGAAATACGCAGGTAAATATCCCAGTCGTGAATTGTGAAGCTGTTTACGTGTCTTAAAAAAGGGCTGTTGCTTACAAGTGAGTCAATTAGACTACAAAACGCCAAACACTAGTTTGCTTTGATTTAGTGACGTTGAGGTCATGCGACCGTGTAGTTCGTTTATTAGTTTTTCTAAATTCTGGTGATTGCATTTACGCATTTACTTGTATGTATCTTAAACGTTTGTTTGCACCAGACAGCAGACAGACACAGTTGGCCACTTACTGGTGAACAGAAGCATTTAGCGGCTTGAGAGCCAGATATTTCCTGTGGTTTAACAATTGTAATTTTGCCTACACACATACAATGTACATGCAATAATGCAACTGTGATGCTGCTGATATCTTCCTGGAGGATACAGTAGCATGAGGCTTTAACCTGGCTCCTGTGGCTACACCACCTTGTAACATTACAATGTGTTCTGTCTCCACAATATCAGCTGCATATGAATGGAAGACACACATGAGGTCCCAATAGACGCTGCCACACTACGCCCTCACAATATTGTACAGTCAGACTAATTAATTTCATGGTTGGGGGGAGGAGTCTGTCCAATAACAGATTACGGGAACTGCCTGTGGAGCGACGGTCTGTGGCACACTATGTTCCATGTTGGTAATCCTTTTGTGACTCCTCACCTGAATATGCATTGTATTATACACCTGTTTCAAGCATGACTCACGTTTTTGTGTTTTGTAGTACTTTGGATGTAGATGCAACTTATTCTCACATGTGTTTTCACCTGAAATAAACACAAAAGGCCCATCCAAACAGATCATGAGCTTGGATAATTACATGGAAAACAATGGATCACCTCCACCTAGAAATACACACACTGTATATTTTCTCGAAAGCCACGCAATTTTTTGTTTCGACACCTGTGCTAACCTTGTCTTATGTATCCTTGATATTCCTTCCACAGACGATCACCCAGGTGCCTGAGGAAAGCACTAGACCACTGAATCCCAGCCAGGCAGGTAAGCTGTCGTTTGGGGTTGGCTTCATGTAATTATATATATGTATATATATGTGTGTATATATGTATATGTATATATAT